TCTATAAAATACATACATGCACAATCTTCCGAGTATATTAACCCATAGATGATGCGATAACCGATCTTTGTTTTGTTAGTCTTCTTTTCTTGTTTTTTTAATTATTCACTTGTCAATTAATTTTTTATTCATTTTTTTTCTTTAATTGGACAGAGTTTATTATAATAAGCACTCGGGAAATTATTTATTTTATTTTTTTTAAGCTTAATTTAAATTTTAGATTTTTTATAGATCTTTATAATATTTATAAATTTTTTTTTCCAATTTTTAATAATTGTAAAAAATTTTTTTAAATTATTAAAATTTTTTTTTATTGTGTAATATTTATAAAAATTAAAAAAAAAAAATTTTTTCTAAATTATTAATCAAGAATATTAAAGTAAATTTTTTTTTTTCTGAGAGAGAATTATTAAGAGCTTTAAATGGTATTCGGTGAATATTTGAATAAAATGACGAGAAAGATATCAATAATAATAGAGGTATCTTTGGGCTTATGGGGCACGGGGCACGGGTTTAGCGATATAACGGAATGAAGGAGTTGCAGAGGACTGGGAAAGAGTATAAGTGAAGTAGTATAGAGCCAGCCGGTATGGTACCGAGCAAGGTAGAGGAGCGAGTCAAGATAAGAAGGCATAAAAGAAGTTGAGAGATAAAACGAAATAAAAGGCAAGGAGGCTCGACGAAGAGGGTCCAATGCAACCCGCCCAACTTGAGTCGCCCACTGTCACCATTAATAATACGTCTCCCGTGCCGTGATGTATCTCATCTCTCGTGGCTCGTGCTAGCACCATTTCCTTTCCTCTATCTCTCACTCCTATATCTCATCATTTATTACTTTTTCTTCTCATCTCTGCTCAGACTCCTCATTCCTCACGCCTCACTCTGCTCATCCTTTTTTAATTCTTCTATTGCTATGCGTACTTGACGCTCCCGTATCGACAAACACCAGAACTAATGCTACTTTTTACTTTTTTGTACTGGAGGTGCGTACTCTTCATTTCACGTCTTATTAGATTGCTCTATTATTTATTTTTAGTGTCATTTTAGATATTATAATATTATAGATATTATTCACAAGATATATGTATCTTGTGAACTATTGACATTTTTAAAGATATAAGCTCATCCCGATGGTACACTTATCAAGACCTTTCATTTGAGTACCCACATCAATTTTTCATATATTGATATATATTATATATATGTATATATGAAAAACATATCAAAAATGCATGTAGGTACTCAAATGAAAGCTCTTGATGAGTGTAACATCGAGATGAGCTTATCCCTACAATAAAAATACATGACAGTTTGAAAGTCAATAGTCGAAAAAATGAGACCTGATTCCTTATTGGTAGAATATAAACCCTCCTCAGTTACTATTGGTCAATCTCCTGGTACGTGAAAATATCAATATATCGATATAAATCGAACAGGATAAATTCATTCGAGAACTTCGATAGGGGGCGCGCGAATGCGCGCCGTTAAAAATTCTAGTATCTTTAAAAACGTCAATAGTTAAGAAAGTACAAGGCATTTTAACAAATATCTCGTTAACTATATTGACATCTTCAAAGATATAAGCTCATTCCGATGTTACACTCATCGAGACCTTTCATTTGAGTACCCACATCAATTTTTCATATATTTTATATATTTATATATATGTATATATGAAAAATATATCAAAAATGCATGTGGGTACTCAAATGAAAGCTTTTGATGAATGTAACATCGAGATGAGCTTATATTTCTTTAAAAAAGTCAATAGTTAAAAAAGTACAGTGCAATTTAACAAAAGTCATTTTTCAATTATGTAAAATTTTATTTTATAGTTCACAAGTCACGGCAGTCACATAGTGACTGCAAGGTTGCTATTATATAATTATTTGACCAAATTTAATGCTGGAAATTTCCGACAGATGGCGCATGGTCGCTCAATATTCTCCTAATGAGAGAGTAACTTCTTAAAATAAATAATAATTTTTTTTTTACTTTTATAAAAAATTTATCTGACATTGATTTTTAGTTCAATTAATTACTGAATCAATTTTTATGACATTTTAATTGACAGACTTATTTTTTAAAAAATTATTATATTTTTTTAAAGTTTGAAAAAATTAAATAGAATTTTTTCACGATGATTATTATTATTTCGATTATTAATATGTATAAAAAACAAAAGTAAAATGTTAAAAAAAAAGTTATGAAGATGTAAAAATGTAAAAATGCATTTGGCTTTTACACAACTATCAAGTATTGAGTCAGCTTAACTTATGTGTACACATACGTTCTCTGGATATCGGTATATACAAACATAAACATAAACAGTTGCCAGAGCCGATTCGACCTGTAAATCACGCGAGTATCTCTTAGTATCGGGTAAAGGCACGCGGGATTCCTTGTCCGCGCAAAAGGCCGCGCGCGTCGATCCTGGAATTCAGAAAACTCAGCTCGGAGATTCTGAAAATGTCAACTGTAGATGTTTCTCCAGTTGCAGAACTATCTTTTTATCTTTCACTGCTCCTCGTCTCTTTTTATTATTTTTGCATTTATTTATTTCGTCAGAGATTGAATTCCTCGGAAATGTATCGTAATCCGCGGCTCAAAATCAATATCAACATATCTGTTGCCTCTTTTATATTTTTTCGAGTTAAGTTCAATTCACTTTACCTACATATTACATTTAATTCTCGCAAATGGTATATGTAATGCTCAATTAAATTCATGTCTACGCTCTGTCTCTCACTCAAATGTCACTATTTATTTATGTGTAAAATCAATTGGTTTGCCATCGGAAAAATAAATGCAAACACGAGGTAACCATTTTTACTTTTTACTTTCCGTAACATTTAACCTCTGTTTAAACTTAACAGCTCAGAAAAAGAAAATTATTATTTACAAACGTGATAACTACTTATATTAACATTTATTTAACTTTACTTGTCGTGAAATTAATTAAATAAATTTTTTTTTATTTTACAAATAAATTTTATCTATTTCCTATTAATTAATTTAAAGTAATAAATTAATTTAAAAATTTTTTTCAACCCCCTAATTATTAATTTTCACTCAATAAAATTTAAACTCGACAAATTTAAAAAATTAATTTGAGCTTAAGGATCGAGTATTAAATAATACAGTAATAAATATAAATAAAAGGTGCGCACAGGAGAAGTATGAGCAATAAGAGTTTATATTAAAGGGAACTCTCGGACTGATTCATCGTCACACCCGCGCATTTTCGTCCCACCATCGGCAGTGTCCTCGTTAGATATTCTAATACACGCTGCATTTGTAGGTAATTTTTATTAAAACTTCTACAAAGACACTGCACTGGACAAGAAATAGAGAATAAGAGATAAAGAAGTGGAGAAGAGAGTAACCCGCGGTTTATTCAAAAAGTTTAATGCCTCCTTTAAGTTTACTCTCAGCGTACCGGGGTCTTTATTTTCGTTCTCTGTTTGCACACCAATTTTCGTCGTTTTTGGAGCGTAAAAAATACCTCGCAGGTCACGATAATTGAAAAAATTGCGTGTCATGACCTGGACAATTTTATGCTTCTTTTATTTTGCTTGAATATATTTACATATATAAATAAATAAATAATTTTATTTTAAGGCACGGATTTTTTTTTGTGGGGATAATTTTGGGCTGCGTTAAATTTTTTAATAATTTATTGAATAAAAAAAAAATAAATGAAAACTTTTATGATTTATTATTAAAAAACATTGTTTTTTTTTAATTAAAAAAAAATTTTTAAGCGAATAAAAATTGAAATCTCCGAAAATTAAGAAACTTACCCCGGTGAAAAATAAATTTAATTTGAGTTTAATATTAATAAAAAGGTCTCCAAGATCTGAGAGTCGGAGCACAAAGTGAAATATAAAATAATGGTCCGTGGCTGGTACGGGTAAGGGGTCCAGGCTGGCTAAAGGCACGGGCGCACCCATATCTACGCCCCCATAAGCCCAACATGTGCAGCCTATACCGTCCCGGTGCATACGACTGCAATAATGTACATATAAAACATATAAAAACATGTATACTTATTCTTATTATATTATACAAAGTGTACGCTGCTCTTGATTGTAAGATTTACTTATAATTTTTTCAATTACCCTCATATACCTCCCCTAACATCCACAGTCCACATATATTATTTATCTACTAATATATAATATGAAATAACTTTTATATCATTTTGTTCCACGCACTCAGTACTTTGCTGGTAAGAATAACTCGTAAACTACAATATTTTTTTTAATTTTCGTAAATTTACTTCCTTGGTTGTAGAAAATTTTTTATTTTGGTGAAAAATTAGGATTTAATAAAAAAATTTTCAATCAACTTAACTTAAATTTACTCAAACCAAAAAGAATTTTTCTGCTTCTGAGTTAAGATTTTTTTTTTAAATTAACCAATTTTTTTTATTTATTTTTAATTATCATTTTTATATTTACAAAAACACATAAAATTATTGTATATTTTTTATTAAATAAATTTTTGTGCAATATTTTATCCTAGTAATATTTTCTCATGGCAAAAATATCTTCGAACATATTTTCTCATACCAAAACTTCTCATTATTCATAATTTAGATTATTAATTATATTATTTTGTTTATATTAAAATTTTTATTGTTTTTAATATTTATATTAAAAAATGTGTCATAGTGTTATAATTTATAATTAAATTTGTAATTGATATTAAATAAATATTTATTTATTTCAAATAAATAAATAAATAAATAAATCATTTGTCGTAAATGATGATTAATTTATGTTGTGATAAATTTTAGAATTTTTCACTAAATTAATTATTGTTTAAAAAATAATTTAATTTCAATCTAAAATTTTTTAAATAACATCAATAAAAAAGTCAGACATTTATAAATCAAATATCTTTGACCAAAAATTACAGGTAAAAAATGGCGAGGTCTGACCCCCCAAGACCGACGGCCATACGTCGAAGAAGCCGAGCGACTGAGGGTGATCCACATGCAAGAGCACCCTAACTACAAATACCGACCCAGACGCAGAAAACAGCCTAAAAGACTGTCAGGAGGACCTTCCTCGCCTCCGACAATTGCGAATTCCGCAGGATCTAGGTCGACGCCGAGTGGAAATTCAGCATCTGCATCAGCGGCTCGTCATTCGACGTGAGTAAACCGATTAATAAGTGGCAATTATCATTATCATTGCAATTATTAGCATCCAATGGCCTTACCTCAGCTCTTCGTAAGAAAATGAAACAATGACGAACCGGTATGTGGATGTCCAACTGCACGCATCGGAATATTTATTTATAAATATTTATTTACTTATTCAAAGCATCGGTTTTGACTTTTAATATTTATCACAAGTAGTTGAATTTTTAAACCCCATTTGATTATAATTTATTTAATTTAACCATCATTCATTATTTATTATTTATTAATATAGGATGTGTGTTTTATTGTTTAGGAAGATGGATAATTATCAAGGAATGTCGCAGCTACCGTGGGGTGGCCACTCGCCGATTTCTTCGATGTATCACCAGCAACAGAGCATGCAGGATTATAAGTCTGAAAATAATTCTCTGTATGGCAGTCCTTATACGCCGATCGTCCATACACCTGACATATCACCTGTTGCGAGTCCTGAATCTGAAGGTATTTTTTTTATTTATAAATTTATAAATAAACAAATGAGGTCGATGCCTCAGTTTTAAAATATTTCATTTGAAGGTCAATGATCTTTTTTGAATAATAATTTATAATTGACGCATTATATTGTTTATTAAATAAACTCTAAAGATAAGCTCTTGGTTATCGATATAAATATTTATCCCGTTGAATATCGAGGGTAATTTTTCTAAATTTTCTTTTTAAATATGAAATTTCATATTTTTTTTTAGCTACGGAAAATATTAAGTATCTCGGCGTGTATAAAAATTTAAATTGAATTTTTTATATTTTTATCAGAGTTGTTTGAAATAATACAACTGTTTAAATGTTTACAATTAGTTTTTTTTTTATTTAAAATAAATGTGTGAGGTTAATGTCTCAGTTGTTTAATTTGTGAGTCAAAGACCTGTTTTTAAATAAATAAATATACATATTTATTAAATAATTTTTTATGCTTATTTTTACTAATTTGGACAGTTTTTATTTTATATTTAAAATTTTTGGTAGGATAAAATAGTAATATTTTTTAAAAGAAGAAATTATGAAATTCAAAAATTAAATAAAAAGTTTTTAAAATTATTTTCAAATTTTAAAAATCAAAATTTAATATTAAAAAAAAAATTAATCATGAAATGAGACAAAATATAATTTTTTAAACACTTCAAAATTTCAAATCAATTTTATTACAAAAAATAGCTCTAAAATTTTTGGGAGAAAAAATTTAAAATGAAGCTAAAACTATCCGACAACGCAAAATTTTTATTTTTTTTTTATTAACTGAATTTGCAATAAAATAATATTTTTGAAAAATTGCACGTTTAGTTTTTGAAATTTTTTACAGGTGGAATTTTTTCTTTTAATTTTTTTGTAATAATTTTATTGATAAAAAAAATTCTGAAAATTGTTAGCTAATTTTATTTTCATAATTTAAAGAGCAAAATAAAATTCAGCGCTAGAATAAAAAAAGTTTGGAAAATCCAAAAGTGCACGCTTCATAATCTCATTATTCACAATAAAATTGATTAAAATAAAATATAAAAAGCGAAATAATAAAAAACAGAAAACTTTGCTATGATTTAGTGGCGCCATAATTTTAAGGTGAGAAAAAAAATACTATAACAAAATGTATAGATAGATATACAAAAAAATCCAGTCATATATTAGTTTTTTATAAATAATAATTTAACGACAATGAATTGAACGCTCATATTAATTAAGAAAGTCCTTAGTGTGTTACTTTAGATAATAAAAAAAAAAATTATTTCGGTACGATGATTTTTTCGAGCAATGTTAAACAAAATAATTGATATTGAAATATATTTTATGTGCCTGACAAATTATTTTACTTGATATTAGTACACGCAGATTAATCTGTAAGTGCAATATAAATAAAAAAAAATCAATTTCAGTTTCGAGAAAACTGCTTTTTTTGCAATGTCATGTGTAGAGCACTATCTCAACGCTTCGCTTATGAGGCGTGCAAAAAAAAACTAATATACAGTTAAAGTAATATTATAGATTATACTATGAATATAAATTTATATTTGTGTTTATACATTAAAACAAACGTGTAAATTTAAAGGAGAAGGAACACACCTTCAATCCTCTCAGAACACCGAGGCTGAGAGAGAATTAATGGACAGCACAGCTAAACAGCATAACGATTTACTAGAACAAAGTAAACGTTACTCGTATATGAATACTGACAATCAATTGCACGCTGGACACGCCGGCGGCACAAGCATATCTTCCTGTCAGAATACCGGTGGTTATACGGATACTTTGACCTATAAGAAATCGGTGAGTCATTCAATTAATTATTCCAACACACCACACGCCGAAACATCCAATATTGATATTCAATCATTCATTCACTCCGATCGAACTTTCATGCTTATTATTCTCGTTCTACTCAATCTAGAAAGAAACACCCTTTTATTTATGATTATGAATCATAAATTTTTAATCAAAATATTTATTCTTTATTTCGTGGTTCTAGATCGGGTACTTGAATTTCGAGAGGCAAACAACGAGTATCGCTGCGGTGGGGATCGCTAATGGCATGATGGTCTCCTGTAATAAATTACGGTCTGGTTTCGACAACGTCGGATCAGTCACGGGGACCTTCTACCCTCCCGTGGCTTCGCCTCATGATCAGACGATTCACTTCAACAATCCTCAGCCTTCCAAATCTACTAATTACTCGATGCAGTCCAATGTCGAGAGTAATTACAACCAGGTTCAATGCTCCAATCGTCAGCAGAATGTTAATATGAGGAACTCCAATGAACAATGTCCGAGTGAGTCTTATTTTTATTTTTACTTACACTTTTTCATACAACAAACTACATAAACTACTTATTCTTTGTAATTATGGTCACTAAATTTTTTATACAATTTTTAGTTCTATAATTTTTATCAAATTTCTTCTTTTCATTTTTCTTGATTAATAATTTAACAATTATTTTACATCTATTGTGTTGCTTAATGGTAAAAAATACCTATTTATTGATCTTGATCAAAATTTTTATTTTTTTTAATTAATCATTTTTATATTTCGAGGATATAAAAAACCATTAATTTTTTATTTCAACCCACTCTATCTCAGTGAAAGTTGAATTTGTTTCGATAGTCACTATAGACACTTATTTTACTTCACACCTTCAAAAATTATGAAGCTGAAATTAAGATCCGATAGTTTTGATTTTCTTTTGAAAAAAAAATCTCAAAAATTCTCAGATATTTGCCAATTTTGGTACGATAAATTTTTTTTTTTTTTAAATTAAAGATCATATTTTTAAAAGATCTTTTAAATTTATTGGTGTGGGTACTATTAATTTCACTCATATTTAAATTTTTCTCTAGCATTCATGATACTATTTTATAAAAATTTTCAATTTTTATAGTCAAAACTCAATTTTACAGCGAAAAATTGGAACATATAAATAATTTTTATCACTTTTGTAGTTTGAAAAAAATTTTTTTTGATCTAAAAAAGCTTACTAAAAAAAAAATTAATTTTCCATTATTTCAGTAAATTTTTACAATCCTAAAATCATAGAAAGAAAAATTTATATTCACTCTTTTGGCATTAGTAACACATGACTAATTTATGACATTAAAGTTAACAGTCACTTGATAATTTTTTAATTTTATTTAACAGAAAAATTTTTGACAAAAAATTATTTTTAAAAAATTGCATTTTTAATTTTTTTAAATTTCTACACGTCAATTTTTTCTTTTATTTTTTTTTTTTGCCATAATTCATCTGTTAAATTAATTTTCATGACTAATTTTTAAAAAAGTCATATATTTTCCTCACTTTATTAACTGGAAATTGGTTTTCTTCAAAAAATTCATCCGAATTAAAAACTAACAAAAATTCCACACCCAAAAAAGCACCCTAAAATCCTTGGATCCAAAAACTAAATCTTAAAAACTTATAGCAGTATCCCACCGATACCAAATGCCCCACCACCAAGACTACCCCGAAACAGGGCAGAACCAGCACATGCTAGGTCACCTCGAGCCGATGGCGGAGGAGGATCAGCAGGAGCTGCAGTTCGACAAGTACTACAAGTACCCCTCGCATCCCTCAATCGCCCACTCGAGCATGATGTCTCAGAACCTTCTGGACAGCAACCACAACTACGCGAGCGACTTGCGCTACTACTCCCTGCACCCTAGCCAACTGGACGTTTTGAACAACCAATGCATCGAAGAGCGCAAGGACAACCACTGCATCGCCGTCAACATTGGACACACGATAGAGCAGTACCATCAGAACGTCGACATGATTAAGTACCAGGAGGCCCAACATCAGCACCAACAACATCAACAACAGCAACAACAACAACAACAACAACAACAACAACAGCAACAACAGCAACAGCAACAAAATCAGCAAAATCAACAACAAAATCAGCAACAAGCTCAGCAAAATCAGCACAATCAAAATTTGGAGCAAGCGACTAAAACTGACGATGATTTTAGCGTGATCCTTGCAGATGTCCGTAAGACTTGCTACAGTAGTTAGTCGAGACCGTAAATTTGTTTAATTAAAGGCCGGAAGTTACGCGAGGGATTTTTATTTTATCTAATGAAATGAAATATAAAATGTTAAGAAATTGTTAAAGAATTCTAGAAGAGTTTCTACTGCATGGTACTGCACTAAACTCCGTAGTAATATAAAAAGTAATGTTATGTATGTACTCGAGGTTGTATTACTGTTGTTACGCAGTAGAGTTTATCTCTAGATCTCTCACCCAACGAATTTCGTGGTATCTTCTGAGGAAATAATAGTTTCCTGCTGTAAAAGTGCTGCCTTAATTCTCATGCTGTACAAGATAAGATGTATTTTTATTATTATTATATTTTTTATTATTATTATTATTATTGTTTTTTTTTTACTCACTTACCAACTTTTTACTCTACTTATTTAGTAAATAATTCTACTCCTATTGCATAGGCGTTAATTTTTAATCGAAATTAACAGATAAACTTAAATCTTTTGATCTCGACGTGGGAAAGATTTATAATATTTTTTAACAATGGGTACTACGGATAAATATTTCTTTTTTAATGGAATTGCTCTTGAGCAATCGAGGAAATTGTGTAAACTTTTTTTTAAGTACTAAATTATTTCGTTTTTGAGTACTTAAAACGCTCGATGTAAATTTATAATAGATATTTTTTAATACTGCACTTGCGGTACTTATTATTTTTAATTATTATCATTATTATAATTATTAATTATTAATTATAATTATTAATTATTAAATATAATTATTAATCATAATTATTAATTATTATTTTTAGAGTAATTGATATTAGATTATTTGTAGTTATTTTAAATTATGTGCAATGGAACAATTGTATGGTCTTATTAATTTTTTAATTAGAATATTATGACACTATTTTTTTTTAATGTACTATTTATTTATATATATTTTATTTAATTACAATTTTATTAAAAAATCTTTTTTTTTTACTTTTTAAATTCGTCGTAATTTTTTTTCGTATAAAATAGATCTCAACAATTTGTTTACTTAATTAATTCTCATGCTGTACAAGATAAGATGTATTTTTATTATTATTATATTTTTTATTATTATTATTATTATTGTTTTTTTTTTACTCACTTACCAACTTTTTACTCTACTTATTTAGTAAATAATTCTACTCCTATTGCATAGGCGTTAATTTTTAATCGAAATTAACAGATAAACTTAAATCTTTTGATCTCGACGTGGGAAAGATTTATAATATTTTTTAACAATGGGTACTACGGATAAATATTTCTTTTTTAATGGAATTGCTCTTGAGCAATCGAGGAAATTGTGTAAACTTTTTTTTAAGTACTAAATTATTTCGTTTTTGAGTACTTAAAACGCTCGATGTAAATTTATAATAGATATTTTTTAATACTGCACTTGCGGTACTTATTATTTTTAATTATTATCATTATTATAATTATTAATTATTAATTATAATTATTAATTATTAAATATAATTATTAATCATAATTATTAATTATTATTTTTAGAGTAATTGATATTAGATTATTTGTAGTTATTTTAAATTATGTGCAATGGAACAATTGTATGGTCTTATTAATTTTTTAATTAGAATATTATGACACTATTTTTTTTTAATGTACTATTTATTTATATATATTTTATTTAATTACAATTTTATTAAAAAATCTTTTTTTTTTACTTTTTAAATTCGTCGTAATTTTTTTTCGTATAAAATAGATCTCAACAATTTGTTTACTTAATTAATAAATAAATGAATTTTCAAAGTGAAAATTTATAAAAATAAAATTTTCTTTAATTGTAAATAATTAAAATTTTTTATTGTAAAAAATTTTCGACTTGCATTTAGTAGTTTAAAAAAACTATAAAGATTATAAATATTTTATAAATTGTTTTTTTATATATTTGATATAATATAATAATAATAGTTAAATAAATTGATGTTAAACATCGCTAGACAATTATTAAAATTAATGTTACTCGTTAACGACGTATGCAAGACAATACAGACTTAAAAGTAATGTATATCTATAATATATATTATATATTATACATAAAGTAAAAAATGAATGAATAAATATATTTTCACGAGTAAATCCTGGTTTGTCAATTATTTTTATTAAAGACATATAAAAAAATATGTATATATGGTTACAACAATGTATGTGTAAACGAAAATTGTTACATAATTATTATTACATATATTTTATAAATCATTTCGTGTATATTTATATATTTATATATTATATATGTGTATAGTTTAATAATATCAATAATTAATTTTGTTCACCGGCGATTAATGGAAAAAAATAGACAGTAAGAAGAAATTTCTACAAACAAATAATTTTTGAGTAGAGTATTTTTTTTTTTAAATCTATTAAAAAAATCCCTGCAATATTAATCCTATTTACATTTTTTATTTACAATTTTAAGTATTGCTATTTTTAATATAGTTTCTTTTTATTTAGAATTTCATATAATAATTTTTATTTTTATTGACTTCACATTAGTGTCAACAAAGTGACAAATTTATAATTCTTTTTTTGCTCGTCGACAATTAAATCATAATCAGTACCAAAATTAGTATCAAATTATCCAAGAAATCATCTTCTATAAATTCAAAAAATTTATATACTTCACTGGAAATTATTACAAGTATGAAATGGACAGATTAACAGTCTTGTTATAAATGGCTCGCTAATAATGGCTATCTAATTATTATGACTTTTTTTTTTATGAAAAACAATAATTAGATATTTGAAAATTATCACTGGAAATATTCATCACATTTTATGTTTAAATTCAAATCATTCTTCAGCCAATTTAATTTAAAAAATGATATGGAATGTTTAAAATTTAAACAATTTTAATTTCCTTAAAAAATTTATAGATGCCTAATATAATCGAAGCTAAATAATTTTATAAAAATTTTAATAAATGCATAATTAAATCTTTGATTAATAACAATAAGTGATATGATAATAATAAATTTTTTTAATAACTCTAGTGTAGAAAAGAATAAAAAAATATTGGAAAAACCCGCGTAAAAAATGAGTTTGTAAAAAATACTCACGAATTAACAAAACCCCATACATTACCCAGTACAGTTTAAATTCAAGTATAATAAAAATAACCATTAATCGGTTATTGGTTCCTTGTTATGGTTCGCAGCTAAGTCGAAAGCATTAAATGCTCAAATATATTTTTTAAAAATACATTTACCTTTAGTGAAATAGATTTTTATTGTTAAATTTTATCACCAGTAAGATTGTAAATGTCAATCATCCCAAAGACAGTTTTGTTTCTGCTTGGCTTGATAAGTAAATATATAATATCTCTTGCAAGTTTTTATACCGCATCTGTACGGAGAGACAACTTTTTTTCCATCATTTTTACTTTTGCAAAACTTTAAACCACATGGATACCAACCGATGCATAATTCAAGGGAACACGAGCACGGAACTGACCAAGTTGAGGTATCCGCGCATTTGCTCATTGCATTTGATCTCGATGTTGAAATTACAGAATTATTTTTAATATTATTATTATTATTGCTACTACTACTGCTAATATTATTACTGCTACTACTACTGTTGTTAATATTTAAATTTTTTATCACTGGTGATGTAAAATTACGAACCGCAGAAGTAATGAGTGACTCTGCAGTTCCGGGTCTTTGAGTCCAGAGTTTCAAATCTTCATTCCGTGTAAAAGTAGACTCCGCGGCTTCTGAGCAAAATGTCGAAATGTGCTTAGATATCACCAAAGACTTGCTGATATCTATGAATAAATCCATTGTATAATTAGTGTAACCGCGATCTTCCTCGGCGACTCGGACTGTTCCGGGATTCTTTTGTCTCAGCTTGGACATCGCGTCCGATGATATAAAATCCGTTTTAGAAAAGTGATTTACAAAACACAATACTTGCAATTGATTTTGACCACGCTCTACTTCCCCTAATATTACTGCTCTTATTATTTGTACCTCCTAAAATATATTATTATTATTATTATTAATGTAGATTATTATAAAAATTTTATTTTAATTTTCTGTGATGGTATTTTTGAATTATTTGTATAAAAAAAATTATGCAAAGTTTTTAAAATGATTACATTATAGTTAGCAGTCACTTAACTATTTTTTTTAACAAATAAATTTGTTCTGAAAAATTATTTTAAAAAATTGCATTTTTTAATTTTTAAAATTTTTAGATATTAATTTTTTTTTCTCATTTTTTTTTTTTTGCCATAATTTGTTTTTTGGCGACAAAAATTATCAAATAAGGTAAAAGACCCAGTTATTGACAATTGCAATTTTATTCTACTTAAAAAAATTAAATGTTCTAAAAAAAAAAATAATTAAAAATTAGATTTATTAGTTTATTAGAATTAAGTTATTTTTGTTAATTAAAATAAAATTGCAAGTGTCAATAACTGGGTCTTTTACCTTATCTGCTAAATTTTTATTTTAGAATAAAATTTTCTTATCAAAATTCATGACACTGAAGTTGACAAACATTAGAAATTTTTTTAGAATTTTAAAACAATTAAATTATTATAAAATTAATTAAATAAAAAAATTCCACATGTGAAGATTAAAAAAAAATCATCAGTGGGAATTTTTAGAAGCATTTTTTTTTATTGTAATTGATCAATTGATCAAAATCTACAATGACATTAAACTTAGCTGTCACTCGACAATTTTTTAATTTTATTTAACAAAAAAATTATTCAAAAAAAATTGCAATTTATTTTTTTAAATTTCCTAAATGTCAATTTTTTTCTTATTTTTTTTTTGCCATAATTTATTTGTTATAAAATATTTAAAATTATTTAAAATGTGCTACATTAATTTTCATAAATCCACAAAAGTATTATAAAAATAAATTAAAAAAATTAACTCACATTTCTGAAGTCAATTAATTGTGTCACCAAAGTTCCATCAGATCTTTGAAACTCTAGAGTAATAGTATCTTCAGTAACATTTGAAACAATAGTCTCTGGAAAAACATCTCCCCCCTGAAAATAAAAAATAAATAAATATTTTTAATTTTATTCAAAAAATTAACTTTTATTTAAATAAAAAAAAATTATTAAAAAAAAACCTCATATTTTTCTCAAGCTGTCATTCTCATTTTTTATTTTTATAAAAACTTACTATATTATATTATAACTTAACTCAATTTATAAATTATTATTTTAATAAATTATCTTAATATTCTATCGATTAGAAAATTCAATAATTTGTCAAGTGTTTAATACATTATAAAAAAATTGTAAACTCTGAAATAAAAAACAACAAATAATTCATTAAAATTAAAAAATAAAAATAAACTGTCTTATTTTATTTTTATTAACAATTAATTAAGAAAAATTATTGAAATTTATAAAAAAATAAAAATGACAGCTCCAAAAAGTAAGGTTACGTTTGACGTTTAAGCTGTCAAAGAGAAACTTGAAAAAAAAAAACAAACTTACCTGATTTTTGACGTTTATCGAAAGCAAAGTAGTGCAAAGTCCGCAAGAATAAAACAATACCAAAAATATTCCAAAGACTTTTACAAGTTCCTTCATTTTTTATTGATGCGACCCATCAATCAATCAATCACTTAATTAAATAATTATTATTAATATAATAATAGTAAGAATAAAAAGAGTAGAGCAATAATAAATCACTGATAATAATTAATAAAAAATAGTCGCGGTAAGCGACAAGTAAAAAAATTTACAAAATTACATTTATGTACACGCTTTATTATTACAGTCCATAGTTCGCGTACTTGTCATTGTCATGTATAGAAATATATAGTACTTTAAATACTTGTATAGTTGTATGTACTTGCACTTGTACTCCGCTCGACTCCATATTCCGCTCACAATAATATCCCGGCGCTCGTGAGCGCTCGTAAATGTTCGGCTTGGCGCTATTATCACAGTTTTGAAAATTTAAATTACCCAAAATTTTTTATTTTCACCAAAAAAAACTGGAGTTTAATAATTAAAAATAAAAATTTATGTACTTTGTAACATAAATTAATTAATGTTAATTTTTTTAATATTGTTAGTGTAAAAATTATTTTAGTTTAGTTTAATTGTGTGGGATAGCGCCACTATCCAGTGTCATTTGTTATTGATTATTTTTTTCTGATTTAAAAAATAGATTGTTGCTATTTATGAATTTCTATTATAAGTACTCTAGTTTTTTTTTTATTAGTATGACAATAATAGTCATGATAATTGGCAATAAATGTGGGATTGGTTTTATTGAGACATTAATTGGAGAAATGTCAATTGAACGCTAAAAATATCATCGTTAATTTATTTATTCTAAATGTATTAATTATTTGTTTTGTAATTTATTATTTGGATAATTTTTATGTCATGTGCAAAATTTTAGAATTTTTAAACTATGACATTAATGTTAGCAGATTTTTTTTAACAAACAAATTTAGGTTGAAAAATTATTTAAAAAAAATTGCATTTTTTATTTTTTTTAATTTCTACTTGTCAATTTTTTTTCTAAAATTTTTTTGCCATAATTTATTATGACACTAAAGTTAGCAGATCTAAAAATTTTTAATTTTTTTTTATTAATTAAATTACGACTAAAAAGATATTTATAAAAAATTACACTTATAGTTTTTCAAGTTTTATATATGTAAAATTTTTTTTTTGTTTAATTGAAATTAATTCTATAAAAAATTTCTAAAAATTTTGAAATGTCGGCTAACTTAATTTTAATTAATTTATTTGTTAAAAAAATTATTAAATATCTGCTAAATTTTTAAACTTCATATTTTTTAGAGATAATTAAAAAAATTTTAGTAAAATTTGAAAAACAAACTACAATTTGTAGATGAATTTTTAAAAAATATGAGTTTTTTTTATATTGTTGCATTTTTTTTAAATAAAAAATATTTTAATATTTTTGTGTAAAAATCTTTAATTTTCTTTCAAGAAAATTAAAAAAAATTTTTAAAATGTCAATTACTGTTTTACGAAATTAAATAGTTGAGTTTCTGAATAATTAATTCCTTAATCAAAATAAAATTTATTAAAAATTTTTTTCTATAGAAAAAAAAATAAACTTTGGATAAAAAATAAATATTTGTGACGATAAAAAATTAATCCTTGATTACAATTTTGAATAATTAATTCCTTAATTTAAAATAAAATTTATTAAAAATTTTTTTTAATAGAAAAAAAAAATAAATTTTGGATAAAAAATAAATATTTATCACTGTTGATAAAAAATAAATCCTTGATTACAATTTTGCGTGTGACTTTAGTAGCCCATCGGAATATATAATATTCCAGAATTAAATCACACGTGTGTAGGACGTCACATTCATATGACGTTATTACAGCGGATCACAAATCATTCGTCAATATAAGCGACTCTTGAATCCTCGGCTCGTCCAGTACAGGCTATTTATAATTTTGGGAATCGAAAATTCAGTTAATACATGCGACCAATCGGGAATTATTTATGTCGAAGAATATCGATACTTACTTCCAAGGTCCTGAAGTCGAAGTTAATATTTTACGATCTCTTAAAATTGCCCTTTTTAAGAATAAAAATATATTAAGATTTTTTTTTCAATAATTGATAAGTACAAAAATGATAAATAAATTAGTAAAAAATTTTTTACCGGTTTTACTTGACGCTCTCGATTCCGGAGTACTCTGTTGTGTGTCATTTCTAAAAGAAAAATCTAATTAGAAAGAAAAAATTCATGAATGAATGAATATTTTATTAACAAGTACAAATAATGACAAATAAAACCAATACCGTAATTGGGCTCGTAAAATTTTAATGACCGGTGGCGTTGGCGGTCTTTCTATCGGCGTTAGATCATAAGTTACGAGATGAGTGTAAACGGGAATCTGGGATATAATAATAAAATGCATATTAACATTACCACGCGGAGATTAATTTTATTGGTGTACTAATTAAATGAAAAATCAATGATCGATTTAATAAAATTAGCAATTTATAAATTAGTTCTGCCTGTGACTTATGACTATGATTATGATTGACCTGATTGAACTTACATAGGGCAAAGAAGTATCCATGACTGGACGGTCGATGTATTTGATGTGATTATTATCGGAGCTCCCGAGTTTATCTAACTTTGGATTATTTTCGCGATCACTCTTGTTCGATAAATTTTTTTTTGAATTATTTATTTCCGTGCCTAAAAATATGTCTTCCAATGGGGTATTATTAGAATCGATACTGCTATTTTTACTATTCATACTTTATTTTTGTAGCTTAATTAATTATTTATGCTCATGAAGTAGATACTAAACTGTCTCTTTATACCCTTTGTTATGGTTTATATATTAGTTTAGGGTTAGTTGTATGCCCTTATAAAGGTTATATGTACAATGTAACATGTAAACAATGAACCTAGCAACCAAAATTTTTGTTGATTCTAATTTGAAATATTAAAATTTTTTAGTTTTTTGTTTAAATCAATATTTTGTCTAATAAAAAATCAAAGATACAAAAAAATTAATAAAAATCTTTTCTATAGAAAATTTAATTTGCTATATAAACTATAAAAAAGCTCCCTTATCATTTTTTATACTTTAGATATTTTGTCCAAAATAATTTATCACTAGCACCTTGCAGTATATATAAATAAATAAAATTTTGCTTCATTAAATAATGACTTTCGTTAAAAAGAACTGTACTTTTTTAACTATTGACGTTTTTAAAAATATAAGTCCATCCCGATATTACACTCATTAAGAGCTTTAATTTGAGTACCCACATCAATTTTTCATATATTTTATATATTATATATATGTATATATGAAAAATATATCAAAATGCATGTAGGTACTCAAATGAAAGGTCTTGATGAGTATAACATCGGGATGAGCTTCTATTTTTAAAAATATCAGTGGTTGACAAGATACAAGGTCATTTCTTAGTTATTGACATTTTCAAAGATATAAGCTCATCCCAATGTTACACTCATCAAGAGCTTTCAGGTACTCAAATGAAAGCTCTTGATGAGTATAACATCGGGATGAGCTTCTATTTTTAAAAATATCAGTGGTTGACAAGATACAAGGTCATTTCTTAGTTATTGACATTTTCAAAGATATAAGCTCATCCCAATGTTACACTCATCAAGAGCTTTCATTTGAGTACCCACATGCATTTTGATATATTTTTCATATATACATATATATATATTATATAATATATATGAAAAATTGATGTGGGTACTCAAATGAAAGGTCTTGATGAGTGTAACATCAGGATGAGCTTATACCTTTAAAAATCTCAATATTTCACAAGATAAAATGTCATTTCTTAATTATGTATCTAGAGATAGGACATTTTTGAATGCAGCTTAAATACTTATCATAAATTGACTATGAAAAGGAACAACTCCAGGACAAGACCTTTCTAATGATACCAAATTAAACCATAAAAACCCATTTTATCATATAAATACACTGGCCGCAAAATTTTTTTTATTCTTTCAATAAAATAGATTAAAAAATGTCATTATTCTTATGATTATTAAATTAGAAAAATACAATTTTTTTTTATTTTCATTTAAAGTAATATTTTGTCTTAAAGATCAAAGATACGAAAAAATAAGTCCTTTTTTATATAAAATTGAATTTCCGGCAAAAAAGGTCTCTTATCATTTTTTTATAGCTTCAATATTTCGCCTAAAATAATTCATTTTTCAAAAACTTATAATTAATCAATTAAAAAAAAAATTTATTCTCTACTAATGTATATTTAACTTAATTTAAATTATTGACTACAATTTAAAATAACATAATAATAACAACCCTCAGAATTACATAAAATCAAATAAACTCCATATTATCAGTAGATAATAAACCACAGTAATAAAGAGAAGCTTACATAAGAGACCACTTTACAATCATATACTTTCCTTAATCGCAATTAAATCCCGCTCCATTTAAATTAAAATTACTGTCATACTACTCATAATTACATCACAATTTTCCAATTATAAATTACCATTACTTATTATCTTTAAAATTCCCTACAACATCAACCCATCATCAATTACCATAAAAAAAATAAAAAAAAATCCAAAATATCAATAGATAACACATAGAATACTGATGAGCGAGGTGTCACGGCCATCGACCAGGGCATCGACAAAGCTCTCCTACGTCATCATTGTAAAAAAAAAGCCTCCACTCTAGTAGCAAGTCGTTGTGTATTATACTGTGAGTGTACGATGCGCTAGATTTACTCTAGACTATGTGCGCGGTATTAATTCCCATATCCAGTCTATACTAGACCGCCATCTCTTCACAACGACCGCGATCGTCACGCCGAGGATTTGAAAAAATGGTCAAAAGCTCAAAATATGTCCCCCCCTCCCCCAAAAATTTGAATAATTCAAATTTTTCCAAAAAATCATCAAAAAAAAAAATCTTTAGGGAAATTTTTTAGAAGCTTGGAAAAATTAAATTGTAACAAAATAATTCAATTTTTTTCGGAACCGTGCTTGCATACTTGTAGTTATTGATACAGATAGCACAAATGTAGATGTAGATATAAA